GTCCTGGGCTTGCTCAAGGGGTGGCTGAAAGTTATGGACCCACAAACCAGCACCCCATAATCTCACTCTTAATAATGCCCACAGCCCCGCTAGAGTTCACAGACCTCCGAAGCCTGCCCAGGGGCCTACTAGGGAGATAGCTCCTTTTCTAAAGAAAGAATGGATGGGGGCTAGAGCTTCCTTCCCAGGCCAGCTGCAGAGCCCAGTCACTGGCTGTCCTCCCCCATCAGAAGGGAGCAGACTCTTGGATCATTACCCCTGACTTCCTCAGCAGGCCTGGGGGGTTTCACTCCAGCCCAGTCCTGACTCTGTTAGGAAAAAGAAGAGAACCACCATGTAAATACAGCCAGGAGGCAGGCTAGGAAGCCAGCAGGATGCGGGGAATCTAGGCATTGCCTCCCACCCATTTCTCGCCAGACTGGGCTAGGGGACAGGGAGGGGCCGGGGCCCAGGATAGCTTGATGCCAAGCTCACTTTCCCAAGCGGGCCTTACGGTGAATAGGAACAGCAGGGTCCAGCCGAGCTGTTCCCAGTCACCACCAGCAGGCCTGGTGATGCCTCCCGATAAGACACCCGGGTCTGAACTGGCCCTGAACGCCAGGCCCCGCAAAAAAGCGCTAGCCTTAGGAACCCGCGGCAGGGAGTCCTGGGAGTAGCCACTGCTCATCTGCTCCTGAGGAGACGGTATCCAGGCCCCGCTGGCGCATCTGCCCGGCCCTCTGCTCCTTGCCCTCCACCACCCCGGCAGGCGTGCCGACTACGCGAGCAGCAGGTGCAAGACGCGGGGGTGGCACTGAGATGACACAAAACCACACTCGCCCCCACCTCCCAAGCCCTGCCGGCCTCCGCCACTGCCCTCCTGCCACCCCAGGCTGGCGCTTCCGTCGGATAGAGATGGAGGTGGAGGGGCAGCCAGCTGCCCGCCTCCCTCAGACCGAGGGGCGGGAGGCAGCGCCGGGAACGTCCTTCCTCGCTCGTCCACGGCCTCCAGGGAGCATGGGCCCCCCAGGACAGCCCTCCCGCCAAGGACGCGGCTCCGCAGTGGCCGGGGCGGGGGCCGAGCCCGGAGGCCGCAGCCCCCCGCCCCGCCCAGCCCAGCCCAGCCCAGCCCTCCGGCCCCGCACGGCGCTCTCGCCAGGCCCCGGCGCCCGCCCGGCGGCGGCCTGGCTGTGCGGTCCCGCCCCCGGCCCCGCCGCGCTTACCCGGGGCGCTGCAGTCCGCACACACCTCCGCTCGCGGCCCCTTTCGGGACATCCTCAGCGGCGACGCGGCCGCAGCCCTCTGGGCCAGCGTGGGGGGCGCGGGCGGCGGGCCCGGGCGGCGGCGGCGGCCCCTGCTGCCCGGCCCGGCTCCGGCGAGGCCCCGGCGAGGCTCCGCGCGCCCGGCCAACCGTCCGCCCCGGGGCTGGCCCGGAACCCGCCGTGCCCGCCTGCCCGCTCGCCCTCGGGCGCCCTCCGCCCCACGCCGCCCCGCCGCCGCTCGCGACTCCTCTCTCCGCCCCCTGCGCGGCTCCGGGCCGCTCCTGCAGGAAGCGGCGCAGGCCCTGCCCACCAGGGGAGGGGCCGCACCCCCGCCCCGCCGCGCGCTCCCGGCCGCGCCCCCTGGAGAAAGGAAGCCCGGGCGCGGGCGGGAGGGGGCGGGGGCGCTTAAAGGGGCCGCGGCTAATGCCCGGCCCCGGCGGGCAGCGGGGCCTGCGGTCCTGGCCTCCGCTGCGGCGCTCGCCTGGCCCGGAGGCAATGTGAGTCACCCTCACAGCCCCCTCCCCTTCACTTTCCGCGTGGGGTGGCCCGGGGGACGCTGGGCCCAGGGATGGCGAGGGCGGGGATTAGGCAGGAAGGACTTGGAGGCCCAAGTCCCGCTCCAGGTCAAAGGGGCTGTGCCTTGGGGTACCCTTCTATCTCTGGTTGGGGTGAGGTGTGCCTCCCGGTCCTGTAGGTGTCCACATCTGTGTGTCCAGGTGTGTGTGCGTGTGTCACACTCTTGCTGAATACGCTCATTGCCAACAATATGGACGCCCAGGTGCTAGAAAGGTCAGGCAGTGTATTCCCCTGCCTCTGGACTAAAAATATATCTATCTCTCCATGCATGCTTCCATCCAGAGAGGAATCTGGGCGGTTTTTAAAGACCTCCCAAGGAGTGACCACTGTGCCTGTGTGCACTCAAATCCACTTGTCATCCGCCTTATACACACGGTGTTTCTGGGCCACCAGAGGTGTGTGCGTCCAGAAAGGGTGCATATAACACAGAGGGGCCGTTTCAGGTGACAGCCTTTCTTCCTGGACTTCACACGAAGAGGCAGGCAAAGGCAAGGCAGGTGAGGGACGTGGGTGGGCTGGGGGGCAGGGAGCCTAGTTGGAGGCCTCACATGAGCACAGCCCCCGCACTGAGCATGCTCCCCCATACACGTGTGCCGCGCGTGCACCCAACCCCCAATCCCTGCAGCAGCAAAAGGCCCGGGCACTCTGCTTGTGGGGAGAGGGCAGAGGTCCCCAGGGCCAGACCTGGGGGCCAGGTCAGTGGTGACAATTGAGGAGGGGTTATCGAAGTCAGAGACTCCTGCTCGGTAACAGATGGGGGCAGTCCTTTGGCAGGGGTGCTCAAGTTGGTCGATTTATCCCAGCGGTGCCAGAGCGGCAGTGACTTGTGGGTGGGCAGGCTCCTTCCCTAGGGGAGACAAGTAATTCTCATGAGTCACACCACCCGAAATACATGCAAAGCTGCCTCCATCGCCTTTTGCTGCGGCCCGGATTGACAAGTTTGTTTGAAATCGCGATCCATGGGCTTTATTTATAATTGCACCTTAAAAAAATCTTTCAGGCCTCCCCTCCCCAGACAGCCAGCCGCTCAGCTGGTGGGGCTTTTGCAAGCAACGATACCTAGCTGCTATGTAGGGAGGAGTACTACCTGCCGCCCCGAGCTGCTCTCTCACCAAAGAATCCATGGGCTTTGGTGGCCCCAGTGGGAAGGGGGTAAGGGGCGGGGGGAGTGAGACGGAAGGAGTGGCCAGGCAGCCGGTGCCGGGCGCTCAGTCGACGAGCGGTGGCCTCCCGTTCACCCCCGGTGGACCCCCAGCCATGGAATTTCATTTATTAAATGTCGAGGAGGCTGCTGGCAGCCCTGCCGCTTGGCTGTCTTTGTTTCTCCGCTGTGTGGGCGCGTCTCGAGCACGTGGCAGCTGAGCGCGCAGGCGAAGCGCAAGCGACCTGGGTTCAGTGTCTACCGCCGCCTGGCAAAGAAAGAACCCGGCCGCCCAGGGGACAGCTCCCCACAATCGACAGCTCCCCACAACTCTCCCTGCCCTCGGACTCCTGGGCTTTGCTGGGGAAGAAGGATGACTCACTCTGCTTACCAACCCCCCGCAGCCCCACTCCCCATCTCCTGGTTGGCTCGGAGGCTACCTGGGAGTGGCCCCGGCGCGGACACACCGTCCAAACTTTGTTTCCCCCAGCCCCGTCACAGCCAAACTTCTGGGCCTGGGACTGGAGATAAAAGGGTTTCTGGATTCCCCCATGGAGATGTCACCACCCCAGGAAGCAGGACTGCTACAGTGGAATCACATACAAGGTTCGAAAGACAATTTAATAAGGAAACGCACTGGCTTGCTCCCGGCCACTCCTAGATGCCCCTCCCCCGCGACAGCCCCCCTCCCCTACACCAGTTGCAGCCACGACACTCTGCTGACCCCTGGTGGTGCAGGCGGGCAGCGGTCCCGGGCCGCCAGAGAAGCCAGCTGGCTCCTCCCAGGCGGGAGAAACGGGCGAGGCAGCCCGCTCCTCCCTCATCTCTTCCCGCCGGGGCCTGGCACCGCAGGGTGTGGAGGAGGAAGGAGAGAAGACCACACAAAGAAACCTGAGAGAGTTTGCAAGCTTTTGCTGGCACTTCCCACACAAATACTTCTTGGATTGTTGTTTTAAGTAGGGCCGGTGTGGAATCCCTTATTCCTGCCTTGTTTTGAGGTGGGCTCAAGAAGGCACCGTGCCTGGTCCCGCCACCTGTCTCGGCCCGCCTGGTTTGGGGAGGGAGGCGCTGTTTCCAGGGCAGTCATTATCCTTAGCTCAACCCAGGAGGTAGTATCTAGAGTCTCATTTTGAAGGGGAGTGGACCGAGAAAGTCGGAAAAATTAAGCAGTTTGCTTTTTTAAGGTCAGGCAGTTGGAGGTATTCGAACTCTGGTCTCTCTGACATCACAGTCCCCTCCCTCCAGGGACTGGTCCAAGCCTCTTGGTCCTTCCAGGCCTTGCAATTGGCGCCGAGAGGCCAATTCAACTTGTACCACACCCTCTGCAGGGACCGTTCTGGAAGTACCTCTTCGCCCTGGGGTCATTCAGGAAGAAGACAGTCTCTGGAATCAGTCACTTCCCTTCCTGAGGGACCAGCTGGGTGGAGGAGCGAAGCTGCCACCTGCTGCTTTCTCTGTCCAACTTCACTCTGGTTCTTGCTGGGGACAGTGTGTCTGGGGGGAAGGACCGTCTTTCCCGCCTTACTGGACATTCTGTTTCCAATGACATGTGTGGAAAGATGGAGTTTAATTTTCTAACAGGGCAGGGAAGACTCCTCAGAAATGTTCCAGGGGCCAGACCCCTGGCTGCGCCAATGACCCCTGGTACTGATGCCCCACATCTTTCTCAGGAGTTTCCCCTCATCAGTCACTGTCTTCTGGGAATCCGGATCCTTCTTCAAGGCCCCTGGGACCCAAGCTCAATTCTGAAGATTACACCTCCACCGTCTCCCAAACGCTCGAACTAGGCCCGTGCCCCTCCTTCCCCAGCAAAAGGCAAAATGCCAGCGGGGCAGGTGCACCCCAGCCCACCTGGCGTCAGGGCCCTGCCCGCGTCTGGGCCAGGCCTGACTCCCCGCCCATTCTCCCACGGGATCCGGGGACAGTGCGGACCCTCTCCGGCCACCTGCCACCCCCAGTTTCACGAGGCGGACTACAAGCCCCATGATGCCGCGGGGCTGAGCTGACAAGCTCTACCCGGGGCGCCCGGTCCCCTTCCTCTCTCCCCATCATCCCCGCATCCCTCGCCGGCCGCTCGGGCTGAGGGCCGGGCTATGCAGCTGCGGGGAGCAGGGGGCTGCGGGCGCGCGTCCCTGCGGCGGCGTCCCCGGGGCCCGCGCCCCGTGCGCCCCCGCGCCCGCTGCGGGCGCCTGCTCCCTCCGTCGAGCCGCGTCTTTGTGTGCGGGGGTGTGGGAGGCGAGCGCGAGTCCGCGCCGCGCTGCCGAGTGCCCGCTCCCTCCCAGGGCGGGTGGGGGCCTCTCCGCGCCACCCGCCGCCGCCGCCGCCGCCGCCTCGCGAGGACGCCCGTCGCCCGCGCCGCCCGCACCGCGCCGGGCGCGCCGCCCCCGCCCGCCGCCGCTCGCACATGCCCGAGCCGCAGCCCCGCGAGCAAGCAGCGCCGGCCCCCCGCCCCGCGGCCCCGGGCCCCGGCTCCGGCGCCGTCCCTCCTCCCCGGCCGGGCGCCGCGGCCCCGGCATGAGGAGCGGGCGATGATCCCCGCCAACGCCTCCGCCAGGAAGGGGCCCGAGGGCAAATACCCGCTGCACTACCTCGTGTGGTACAACCGCCACCGCGAGCTGGAGAAGGAGGTCCGCGCCGGCCAGGTAGGAGCGCCGTCGGGTCGCCGCGGGGACCCCACGACCAGGCACGCCCGTCCGGCCAGGGGAGGGGGTGCGGCGCGGGCTGTCCCGCCTCCCCGGCGAGTTTGCGGCGCGTCTTTGTTTGCGGCCGCGGCTTTTGTGTTTGTTGACCGGGAAAGGGTGATGGGAGCGGGCCCTGCCCACTCCCCTCTGGCCGGGACGGGCGGGACCACACGTGTTTCGGACCCTCCTGGATGGGGGTAGGGGCCACTGTGCCCCTCCTCCGCCGGGGCAGTGAGGGCTGCAGGGAGGGGCTGCGGGCTGGGTCGGTGTTCCATGTGGTGGGAGAGTCCGCCCCAGCCAGTGGAGCAGCGACACCTCCCGAATGAGGGTGCGGAGGTGGGAAAGGCTTGCGTGGGGAGGGGGCCATAGGTCAAGGATGGGGAAGAGGCTGTGTCACATTCCCAGGCATCCCAGCCCCACCCAGCGCCCTCTCCCCAACGGTGAGCGCTTTCTCTTTTAGCTCTCAAACTGAGCAGATCCTTGGATCCCTCAGACCCCAGCCCCAGCTCAGGAACGGGGAGTGGAGAAAGACCCTCTTGGGAGGCCCCAAGGGCCTTGTCCAGGTGCTGAAAAGCGCTCTCCTGCCCTCTGGTGCTGGGGCCTGGCTTCTAGGCGCAGAGGAAGCTGGGGGGCCCTGGCTGCTGGAAGGACTTGAGGTTCTGCACACGAGGTGGGCTCCCTGGTTTCTGCTGGTCAGTAAGACCACGTGGGTCACCAGCTTTGGGCTGGGCAGTGGTCTCCAAGAAAACGGAAAAGGGGGATGTCTTCTGGCCATGCTTCAGGACAAAGGCAGGCACAGGTCACAGATTGCCACTTCTGCCCTTGGCACCCAGGCCACAGGTAGGCACTCATGGCAGAGATGCCCCCCCCCTCCAGGGTGGGCAGCAGGAGCCAGAGCTGGGCCCAGGCCCCATGGGTTGCTGCAGGTTGAGAACCCCAGTTTCAGTCTGGGTCTGAGACCCTGGGACCATGGGCTGGGGGTGGTTAGCGCAGTTGCCCGCTGTGGGAATTTACCTTCTGAGGGCCACTTCTTGAGTCAGGAGAAGTTCAGTCTGAGGAGCTGTGCAATCGCCAAGGGAAGCATGGAGGTGGAGGGCAGGCCATCAGACTGAGCAGGCTGGGGATCAGGATGTGTCTCTGAAGTCCCACGCTAAACCAGCTCCGAGGCCTGTATGGCATCCAGCTCTGCATGGCAGTCCCTGTAAATATCCAAGTGACCTGTGCCTGCAAGCCTCTGGGCGGGTCTGGGTGACCACTTCCTGTTACCTGTGCTTACGCCAGCACTCTCCAAGTTTCTCTTTGGACTGAACTCCTCAGACTCTGTCTCTGTTTATTTATCATAAAGGCAGTGCTCTGCAGCCATGAGAGGCCTGTTAAAGAGAGTGGGTTACAGTGCCCCCGGGAAACAGATGAACAAACAGGGCACCAGCCCCTGCCCTCAAGGAGTCTCTGTTCTGGTGAAGCAAGTATGAACAGGGAATTCCAGGTGATGTGCAGAGTGCTAAGACAAGGCCAGCCACCCTCTGCTGGCTCTTCTCTGCTTTCCTTTTCTGAAAGCAAAAGAAGACAAGCCTCATGTGGGAAGAACTTCCCAGGGGTCCAGGGATCACTAGGCAAAATGCTGAATCTCCAGAATGCCTCAGTCCCACTCCCTTGCCTGAGGGTGGGTGGTCCTTTCACTGCAGAGACTGGAGAGAGGCAGAATGCCCTGGTTGAAAAGACTTCTCCAGCAGGCCTCTCTGCTGATAGTCCTGAAGTGGGTGGCCATCTTGCTGGGGTAGGGGGCACTGGAGCCACTGCAGGTAGAGGTGTTGGGGGCTGCTCATGTGTTTCTCTCTCCCACCGCTCTGGCTGCCTCAGAAACAAGGTCCCAGGTTCACCCCTACCCCTGCCCCAGTGAGTTAATGTCTCCTTGAAATGGACACTGCCTGCCCTGGATGCAGGCCAGGGGGAATATAGGGCACTGGTGGAGGTTAACCCTTGTTCAACCACAGAGGAGCCAGGCCAGTCCTCTCCTTCCCTCGGGCATGCCAAAAAGGGGAATGCCACTCCGTGTGGGTGGGAGAGTTCCCTGGTTGTCTCCCCCTTCGAGGACTGGCCCAGAGTGAGGCTTGTATCCAGATGTACGCTGCCTACTCCCCAGGGCACCAGGCTCTGTTTTCTGCAGGGGGACCTGGGGACAGCCACCTAACATCATGATAAAAGCACTGTGGAACCCTGGCATCCCAGCCGGGGTCCCTGGCCTCTCGTCCCCCTGGTACCAGCCGCCACGGAAACAGCTCGGCTTTCCTCAAGCACTCAGGAGCTGGGTTTCCCTGGTCTTGGCTTGGCATAGCTGCCTCTTCTTCACTCCAAGAAAGCCCCGCAGAGGCCCTCTGTGGGCAGGCTTGGCAGTGCAGCTGGCTGAGGAGGGGGTCAGCATGGCCACCTTCAGAGGAGGTTAATGGGCTTTACTCAGGCCCTAATTGTTCTGCTGGAGGCTGGAAGCAGGGAGTGGTAGGCAGAGAGGAGGTGCCTGGTGAAGGGAAGGGGCACGCAGCAGTGCTGTGATGCCGGCGCGGTGCCCTGCTTGCCGCCATGCGTGTTCCCTGCCAGGTCAAGGGGGACAGGGTTGTAGGCCAGGGAATGTGCCAGTTCCCCCTTGCCTGGCATGGCCAGCTGGGCATGGCCCTGGTTCTGGAGTCACGAGATCTGGAGTCCCTGGGGTGGGAGCAGGGGGAAGGGTTAGCCTGTGCAGCTCCCGTGGGAGGGACATGTGTAGGCTGGGCTTGGGGAGCAGGATTCTGCCCCTGGCAACCAGAACCCTGAAGTGGGCAGACTGTGGTCCCAGAGAAACATTTTCCTTCTCCCTGGGGCGTTCTCCACCATGGGCTTGCTTCCTGCTTTCCCTGTTCACTCTTCTGACCTAGAGGCAGGGGAGATGGGTTGTGGGGCCCGGGATGGGCGGGGAGCACCTCAGACCCCTCCCTTTGCCTACAGTGGGCAGTCCTGGATATGGGGCATCACCACAGTTGGTAAGCTAGGAAGCTCAGGAGAGGGAGCCGCAAACCCCAAAAACCAAAAATCAATGTGTTCTGGGATGAGGGGTAGGGGCTGCACGGGCAGGATGGGAGGGGCGACATGGAGGGAGAAGTCCAGGGTGCAGCCCCCACAGCCCATGGCCTCCTATGCAGCTTGAGGACACATCCTGCCTGCCTCCCCTTGAATGAGCTCAGGCAGACCTGCCCCGCCCCCCACGTTGGGCAAGAGAGGTCAAGTAACGACCACACCAGACTCCTGCTTTCCTCCCGGTGGGCTGGGGAAGGGGCTAAGCAGGCATGGCCTTGAGCACAGGCTCTGCGTCCCTCACCTTCCTTGCAAGCACCATGTTTAGTCCATACATTAGGTGCATGCTTTTCATACTTCCCTTAACCAAAGGATTCTGCTCATGCTAAAGGAGTTTGGAAAGTACCCTGCTAGTGCACGTGGGTGTGAGGGGTGTTCCTGTGCAAATATGCTGGCAGCGCACACACTCGTTACACAGGAGTGGACTCCTGCAGGGCCAGAAGGCAGCTGGGCACGCGTGTGCTTGTACACTTAAGGGCACACGTGAGTACCTATGAGCGAATGGGTGTGTATTTGTATGGTACCTGTGTGTACTAGCGTGTGGTATGTGTGCCTGAGTGGAGGCCGGGGGGCTTTCTGCCCAGGGATCCCCAGCTACGAAACTCCAAAGACCCCAGGTTTTGACACCAGCTGGGGCCTGCTGGGATAAGGAATCTCCATTCTCTTGGTGGGGAGGGCTGGGTGTTGGGTTTCATGGGAAACCTTTTCATTCCAGCAATTAAATAGCTAGAGGCCTCTGCTGAGGAGAAGCTGGAGGCCTCTGCTGAGGAGATTAATGAATTCTCCTACCTGGGTCCAGGGCAAGGTGCCACTTGTACTGCAGGTGGCACTCTGGGCTTGTGGGGAGAGCTGCTCTGGGGCTTGGCTGAGTGCCTGGGGTTCTGCATGGGGTGCATGGGGTGCTGAGCCATCCAGGCCTCCCTGGGGAGGCGCGCTGGGGAGCACTCCTGAGGTGTGGGGTGGGGAGGGGCACCATGCCTGCAAGGGAGTGCCATCCTGTCTCTGGGGCCTGGAGCTGAGGCACCTGAGTGGGAGGGAGGCAGCATCTGGAGCCCTGAGGCGAGGCAGGGGCCCTGCCAGCTCCCTAGGGCCTTATTAGCTGCAGTGGCTGCGGCATGTGGGGCAGGGCTGGGAGGCCTGGATGGCTCAGCACAGCGCCATCGGGAGGCTCCGGACTTCCCCAGTCAGCTCGGGTCCTGTGGCCCTCTCCCACTCCCTCTGTAGGGCTCAAGACCCCACCCAGGTTGCAAGCCCGGGGGTCTAGCCCAACCAAGACAGGACAAGAGTAAACAGTGCTCCCCTTCTCTGTGGGGGGCCACAGCTCAGAGGCCAACAGGGGCCAGGCCCACTGGTTTTTTTGAGGCTTCCAGTATATTGAAAAATGAAGAAATGTCAGAACAAGGCTATAAAAATTATATAAATAATCTTAAATTATTTAAAATGTTTCATTTTTGACAAAGGAGTTCACGGTCATGCTTTAAAATATTTAACTGTTGGTAGAAGATGCGTAATGAAAAGCGGTGCTCCTTGCTCCGCCTCTCCCGCCTCCCCAGAGGTGACCGCTTCAAACGCTCCTGTCCTTTACCTCCCTAATTATACACAATATCGTTCCCTCCCCTCCTTTCGCCTCCCCTCCCCTCCCTTCCTCCCTCCCTTCTCTCTCTCTTTCTCTCTCTTTCTTTCTTCTTCTTTTTTCTTTTTTAATAAGACAGGTTCTCACTCTGTCACCCAGGCTGGAGTGCAGTAGTGTGATCATGGCTCAGTGCAGCTGCTGCCTCCCAGGCTCAGGTGATCCTCCCATCTCAGCCTCCCAAGGAGCTAGGACTACAGGTGCCACCATGCCAGGCTAATTTTTG